AAGTAACAAACTCATTGGTAGTCAAACCATAGGATCTGAAACTGAAATCGAACGGCTAAAGTTGATCGAGAAAGGAACAGAGAAGCGTACACACCGTATATGATAATAAAGAGTTTTGACCAAAATGATAAATAGAAAACAGCTTCAACAGTTAGCTTTTGGTTCCGAAGTTACCTTCAGAGACAAAACCAGTCGTAAACACTTCATAGGAAAGACGTATACTATTGATTTCTCCAATAAAGATGTGCTAAACATACGTATTTGTGTAGCAACTAAAAATAACAATACAAGCAACTGTCAATATTGTAATAACAAGACTAGTTAAAATAGCCAACTTAAGGATGTAGCAGATCATCCTATGTTCGATACAAAGGGTTTGGCTCAAGAACCACAACAGGCAGATTTTTGGGATGCCCCTGCTGTCTGGTCGGCTTGGGTAATCTTAATGGTTTGAGGCTGCAAAATTCGGGAAACAGATGGACCAGTCTTAAGATTACACATATATGTAAAGAAGTAAAGTGCAAGCAGCTACAAAAAAATAAAAAACATGATTATACCTCGGCCTTTGAGTCGGATTCCGCAAGTCTTTGCTTTATATCCCTGGCTATTGAGAAAAACACCTCCTCCACGTTCATGTTAGTCTTTGCACTCTGTTTGAGATAATAATGTAAGAACTGACTTCTACTGCATATGATTCCAACATCAGCAAACAAGTGTAACTTACTGTCTCAAAGAATTTAATTCCATACTCATCAGCGAGTGCTTGACCCCTGGAGGTGGGAACAGCCTGCAGAAATAAGTTTGGTCTGATCAATCTTCGAAGATCTAATAAGCTAGATTAGAAAGCTCGTCAGCATATCACAAAACAAAGAACAATGTGTTTTCTTGTCTACTAGATCTCTCAGGCATGGCATCGATATGTAATTCCATCACTTTTCACCCGTTTCGTTTTGTTTTTCATTTTATATCTTATTCTTGGAATTACCAAAATCCACCTGGTGGGTTTACATTTGATTTGCATGAAATGCATGCTCACTAAATATCCATCCAATTGAGCTTTAGCTAGCTACCCAATCAGAGCAATGATGCAGAAGAGTCCCACGTATGCTCACTATCTACAACATATATGCATAAACATACATATGTACAAACAAACACATTTTTGTGTGTGAGTGCTCACTTGGGAGCAGGGGTAAGGATAGAGATTATACCCTTTTGCTTTCATCCATGTCAGCCTTGTTACCCACTAGTATCTTGTTAACATTGTCAGAGGCATGTTGTTCAATGTTACGAATCCAATTCCTGATGTCTAAACAAAGGAACGAGTCAACTTTGACAAAGGGAGAAAGTACTACACTCATAGTTATGCCAATCAAAAATTTAAATGAGATGCATAAGTAAATTAATGGAAGTTAAAAAAAAGAGAGAATTGAAGAATCTGTACAAGGTAAACCCTCTATAGGTGCAATGAAGGGCAAAAGTATCAGGCCCAATAAAAAAGGGGGATGATCAGAATGAGTTGAAATTACTGTTAAAAGATGACTCATCAGTCACATCGTACACCAGCAATATTCCCATAGCTCCACGGTAATACGCTGCAAAATAAATATTTACATTAAGATAATGCTCAGAAATTTCCAGAAAGAAAATGCTTGCATGGAGTCTATAAACACTAAGCTATTGAGCAAAAAGAAAAAAACCTATTTGAATGTATTATTTTAAAGAAAAGAAGAATCCATAGGAAGGATCTCATTCGACAATATATTTCACTTGTACTTCCTTCCATGGCTAAATGTAGAAAAGGCCACTGCTTGAAAAGTGTTGAGCATTCATGTATGGACTCGTCACAACTATCTGCTTCTAAGGCAATCATCTAATAAGTGTCAAAAAGTGCAATACTTGTGCTGCAAAAACAGTGCTGTCTTTTTCAGTCCATGACATGTAAGAGCTAGATTCAAATGTGATCATAAATAAACAGGTTCAGTGCAAACATTAAACATTTATATAGAATAGAGCAGTGGCAAAATATGCATGTAATTTAGGATTCGTTTCACGTGGTTTTTTTTAGGACAAACCTGCCCTCCATTCATTATCTTTCTTCAATCTAACGCCCATCTTGGCACTGCAAAAGCCAAACCAAAGGGAATTGCTTGCTATGCTCACTTGGTGCTCATTCATGCTTGATGGCTAATGAAATGAAGATGAATAATGGCCATTTGAATACGTGTCCACTATCACAATCATGTTGGCTTCAGATATGTTACAAAAATTATCCTACATTTTACCACTAAAACATACGAATTATGTATTGCTTCTTCACTCAAATTTAAAAATCCCTAAATAATGATATTTTCTTGTAATGCATGCAAATGCAATCAAGAAACAAAATTAATTGTTAAAAAAAGGTACAAGCTGACCACAAATAGACCGTTATTCCATGAATTATTAAAAACAATGCATGGTCACTAGAGTTTTAAGCTCATCTATGAAAACAAGCCAAATGCAAACCACCTCAAGCTCCATTCTCCATGAGGTTCAGTTGCAGCCATAATTTCATTCATGTAAAAAAAAAAAAAATCTATTGATCGGGAAAAAAAATCACTTTAAAATACGATGCATGTTATGAAGCAGGAAAAGAGGAGAGCAGTCTGCGTCAAATTGAAAGAAAACTAGAATGAAACCATCAATAAACATCGCAAGGGTAACTATGAAGTTTTTTGGATTCTCATGGTACTTAAAACCTCAGAAATCGTTTTCCACTTAAAAGCAGCTGATTCCTAAAATGATAAGACATTTGATCATTCTCTTCTCTACTTTCTTCTTAGATATCCACATGGCACCCAGAATTTTTAAAAAGCTACTTCACATATTTCTAAAGAAACCTTAAATCAATTGAAGAAAAACATGACGAAACTGAAATGCCACACTACTTGAGTATCTGACTATCTGTCTAGGGAAGGGATAGGGGCAAGGGAGCAGATTCATGCATTCGTTATGGCATACCAGTTGTGATGGTTCGGAATCTCTCTTGCCCAGCAGTATCCCAGATTTGCAGTTTGATTCGTTTGCCATCAAGCTCTATGGTCCTTATCTTGAAGTCAATGCTGCATAAGAAAACTGAATCAGATACAACTGGCAGAAGAATGTCAACAAAGCCAAACTGGAGTAGGATATCTTGTATTGGAAAGAAACATACCCAATGGTGGTAATGAAACTGGTAGTGAAAGAGCCATCGGAGAAACGTAAAAGAAGGCAACTCTTACCCACACCTGAAAACATAAAATCATTAAATGTGTGTGACCTAACCTTCAATCCAGATCTCGTTAAACTACAACTTGAAGTGGAAAATTCGGCACAATTTGCCAGAAAAGATATTAATTATACCAAAAGAAATGAAGATATGCTGACATGCACTAAAACGTTCTACATTCAGCCAAGGATAAAATCCACAGCACAGTTCCCAGTGATTTTCGTGTAACAACCATTACTTTCTAATGTTCACTTGAGTGACGATATACAGCGAGGTTTTCCTGAAAGGGGATAAACTGGAGCAATTAGACCCCAACCAACAAGCTTCACTCATTTTTGAATAACATGATTAAAAAGACCTGAATACAAAATCTTTCATAGCCTTTTGAACTCATTTGAGACTTATAATATCAGCACCCCTTCATAAAATTCCAATCATTCTTCTGGATAGAAGTCATCAACTTCGCCTCAAGCACTCAAACTTTCCCAGCAATGCTCCCATAGATAATCAGCAACTTGTCCTTTGGAACATTTGTCTTTGAACAAGTGTTCCATTTCCTCAAGTTAAATTCTAATCCTACAACTATTCAAAGTCCAAGGGTACATCCTATAAAGAGACCAAGACCCTCATTAATTCTTCAATCGAAAATTACTCTCTAAATAAAATTCATAATTATTAAATATATAAAAGTAGCATACGAGCCTATGTGCCAGCAAACATATGCATTGAAACCCGCCAGTGCACATTTCTTTTATGATATTGGCGAAACATTTATGCACCTACTTAGCCGAAAAATAGATTTTGACAGATATCATCAAATCTAACCCATGTTTCACCAGTAGACAAAATTATTTTTCGAAAAATAGCCAAGCACAATTTTTTAAAGCAGAAAATCCTATGAAATATTAAACTTTTCCCATAATAAAAAGGATATATCAAGAGAATATCTGAAAAATCTTAAATATTCTCCCAGTGAAAAGATCAAAACCATGTCAGGTGAAGTAATAATATGAACATTTCCGATCAAATGCAGATGCGACAACAACACATATAAAAGCACGTCGACATATTTCAAATATTACGCAAAAACCATGATAAAATTCTTAAAATACGTACAGAACTACGTGCATAAAATACGTACCGCTGTCTCCTATCAAGAGAAGCTTGATTAGATAATCGTAATCGGCTCGAGCTCTGGCGGGTGGAGCAGCCATTTGATTCGATCTCAACTTCTTTCCTCAAATATGAAAGGAAAATAAACCCTAGAAAAAGGTACTCGTATTTATTTTTTTCGATTTTCAGATAATTTAAGGAATGAAGAACGGAACAAAATTTAAAAAAAATAAAAATTGCATTAATTAAAATAAATAATTTCGTGAAACAAATGCATAAATTTACCAGATCGGAGAGAGAGAAAAAGGGGATCGAATAAATTGAGGAGGAGGAAAAAGCGGAGGGAAGGTCTGTGAGATCAAAGTTAATTAAAGAATTCTGCTTGTACAGCTTGTTGTACAGAAGCAGAATGGCCACAACAGGCACAGCGGGACGGGGCGTGGTTTTTTTTTTTCAATATTTTACCCATATGGGGTGGGTTTCATGTGAGTTTTCTGGCCAAATTATGTGGAATATATATATATTTATGTACAAATAGAATTATTCATCATGACCACCAGCATTTGTCTCTAGTTACTATTTGCTCAACCAAAATTAAATGGTTACTAATTACCAACTTTAAAAAAATGGATAATTCCATTTGTATCGAAAATGTTACATCCTCTCACATGCGTGCGGAGCCAGCATAAATAAAAAAATCACAAATGTATGGTCCTCACACCCTATTATGTGTGTAGGTAAAAGATTAGGAGCTTATTTGGAAGAAATTTTTGGGGAAAGAATTGATTTTGAATAGTAATAGGATTGGAAATGTATGGTTGAAAAAGAAGAAAAAATTATTGATGTGATAGAAAATATTATTTGATTGACGAATATGCGGTTAAAAATGAGAATTGATTTACTGTAGAAAAATTTAATCATTTCCAAACAGGGCCTAGGTAAAAAAGTGGATGTACATGTAGCATTGTCCTTGAAAAAAATTACTCATCCATAGTCCATTCAATTTCCATTCATCCAACTACGCACAAATGTCCACGTGGCCAATGAAAATTCTAGGTGGCCATTAACTCTATTAAAACTTGACATGTTAGAAAGTCACACTACATTCAAATAGTGATTTCTCTTCAAAATGTCAGAATTTTTCTTTTCTTTTTTTTTATTTGGTTCTCTGCCAATATTAAACTTCCCGCACAGTTGGAATCCATTTCTTCCCCCAAATTAGTTTGTCATCAATGGAATTTCAAATCAAGACTTTTTCAAACCAAATCCGGAAAACCCTCAAATTAACAAGAACCATAATTCCCTGTTTATCAGAACGCTCTTGTTAATTTATAAAAACCCCACCACCATCCCAAAAGTCACCTACATTAACCAATACTCACCATGCAGAAGGCATTCCCATACAGAGATTGGCTTTCAACCACCACCACCACAGGTGGAGGCACTACCAATCCTCACATGAGGAAAAGAAGAACAAGTGATGACGAAAAGGTGATTGTGAAAAAAAAATGGTGACAAAAAATACGATGGTGGTGTTTGGCTGAAGAGGTTGCTACGTGGGCCATGTGGTCTTTTACTTCACGACCACGGCGTCAACCCCACCATATTTGATGCGAATGAACATAACGAAATTGTTGTTATGAATGAATTGTCAAAGATCGTCACAGTGGAAGAAGGATGCTCCACTGTCAAAGCCAATTTTTTGGTGTTTGTCGGTGGAAAACTGCTTGGAAGGCTTGAAGAAATCATGGGTTCCCAATTTCCCATATATCTGGTGAATTGGTGCCTCCTCTGAGAAAAGTTGGAGCGCTTTGATTCTGATTATTTGAATAACTAAGAAAATTTTGGATTGAAGAATGCTATAAATTTTCCCCTTTGTTAATTATCATTTTCTAATTTCTGAACAAATTTCAAGCCAGGAAGTAGGTTGACGAAGGTGCAGATTATCCAACTTGTCAAGCAGATTATCCAACAAATTTCTGCTTTTTTTAATATTAATATAGGATTTTCCAACGTGTCAATTTTTAATGGAGTCAGTGGCCACCTTGTATTTTCATCCGCCAACTACACATTTTTGCCTAATTGGATGGACGGAATTGGAATGTGTAATAGATGGGTAATTTTTTTTTTTTTTTTAAAAAAGCGAGTGAGCAATGAGTAACCTTGTTTTTGTTTGTTGGGGGTGAGTAAGTAGTAACCAGATGCAAATGTTGATGGTGAGTAATTTACTCAACTCCAGTGAGATCAATCGCATTGAATTCATAATTTTTTTTATTTTTTATTTGTTCTCTTTTATTTAATTATAAACCGTAAATAAATATCGAAAAAGTGGACACAAATAATACTTTATGAAGCAAAAGAGATGTTTATATATGATTACTAGTTACATGGTACTTATTCAACTCTAACGGGGTGCTCATGCTCAAGTTAGGAAATCAGGTGCATCCATCAAAATATTCAATATCTAATCTGGAAGAGGCGGAATGCTTTTGTCTTTGAGAATAATTTTGATAGTCCAGCAACCACTTTGAACAAGGCCAGTCAGAACGCTCTCGAGTTCAGGGAAGCTAACTCCCATCCGAGAAATCATAGTACCAGAGGAGCCTATGCCCCCCATCTTCGATCACCATCTTCTCCATATTCATTCAAGATTAATTGGGATGCTACGGTTGATGCATCAAGGGGTCGAATTGGAATCGATATTGTTGTCAGAGATTGGTCGGGACAGTTTAAACAGGCGTTGATGTGCCAAAGAGGAGGGCTCCCGGATGCATTTTTGGCAGAATCCAGCGCAGCTCTGGAAGCGGTGTCTTTCTGCATTCACCTTGAGCTCAGGTCGATATTTTTAGAAGGTGATGCACTGAATGTTGTGAAGGGCATTAATGGAGATTCCGA